TCCTTTTTAAAGATAAACCATGAGTAGGCAAACTAAGGCCCGGGGGCCGGATGCGGCCCAATCGCCTTCTAAATCCGGACCGCAGACGGTCCAGGGAATCAGCATGTTTTTAAATGAGTAGAATGTGTGCTTTTATTTAAAATGCATCTCTGGGTTATTTGTGGGGCATAGGAATTCATCCATTCCCCCCCCCAAAAAAAATAGTCCGGCCCCCCACAAGGTCTGAGGGACAGTGGACCGGCCCCCCGCTGAACAAGTTTGCTGACCCCTGGGATAAACTTTTCCCCCTGTCTAAATATTGACTCATTCATTTTGGCTGTGAAGCAACAGTTCTTGCCACTGACTAAGATCAGTGTAAGCATACCAAACTATTAATCAGTATCTTCAAAACCACCATGTATAGAAATTGCCACTTATACTGGAAGCCCAGGAAGCATACTGATGCATACATTTTACTACTCAAAAAATGTCACACGAGCCCTGCAATAAACTCCAGTGCCCAATCTGTCCTTATGTACTGCTCAGTAACATTATTGTATGATCAAATAATATGAGCTTTCAAAAGCATGGATGACCAGCCAGCACATTTTCCATTACTTCCTGTATACTATCAGAAAGACTAATTCTCAAATCAAGAGACAACCATGTATAATGCTGGCCTTTTAAAAAAACCATGTTACGTCAGTGTGTAAACTAGTATCCCAGATATAATCCTGATACTATTTGAATGAGGCCATTTTTGACTGATTCACTGACAAAAACTTAACCCAAAGTAGTCTAAATGGTGCCTGCATAATTTAGCTGTAGAATATCTCTTAATAAACACGTCTCAATTAAAGATAAACCTTTTAGATGAATTTAGAGAAAGAGAAAAAAACAACTCAGGCACCAGAAGTTACCCAATTGTTCTAAAGAATGGTCAGCAAAAATCTATGAAGACGAACTCATACGTACAAAAAAGGTGCCAAACAGCATATTAAGGGGTTATTTGATTAATTTCAACAGAAGGGTTGATACTTTTTGAACTGCAGAACTACAACCATTATTTCTTGAAGTTACCAGCACTCTGAGAAAGTTGTCAGTCTACTGGCACCTGACAGGATTGGGACACCTCTTAATCTGATTTATCAAGTTCTTCTAAAGTAATCTACATTCTCTCTGCCTCACTATGTATAACTGTTCTTACAAGGGGGTGCAGGGGAATCAGCAGAAGTCCACACACCCAAGCAATATCCCACTAAAACAACTCTGGTTAAATTGATATAATAATGAAGTTTAGCCCCAAACAGCTCCTATGCATCAAAACCTGAGTAAAGTTGTGAACGGTCAACCAGGCCACGTTATGGAACCACTGGATATTAGCTACTACTGGATAGAAACTAATGGGGCTAAAGTACTTTACACACTAAAAGTACAGTACATATTATTTAAATATTAATGGTTTTCCCGTGTTAGCTAAGATGCAAGCTCCTTGATTATAAAACGCTATCCTCAAGAAAGAAAATATAGTACACTTTTTGTTAATAATAATAATATCACACTGAAAAAACACTACCAATGTGAAATTTAAAAGATATCCCAAATGTATTTGGATGTAAATGATATAAGCTATTTCAGCTGACCAGTATTTATAATATGGATATTCAGAAAGCATAGTACCAGATTTTCTCATTTTAAAGTATTGCTAAAATACTGCACTAATTCCTTATGCCTTAAAAGCTTGCCATATATGCAAAGCTAGTCACCCCCAAGTACGGTGAATGTACCGTATTTTTCCCTCTATAACACGCAGATTTTTTCTCCTAAAAAGGGAGGGAAAATGTCTGTGCGTGTTATTGAGCGAATGTGTGGTCCCTGGAGCCGACTGGGGCAAGTGGAGGCAAAAAAAGCAGGCAAAAATCAAATCGCGCCTCTCGGAGAAGGGAAGCCTGAAAAGAGGAAGCGGCTGCTTTCCTGCATTCTGCCTCAGGGTCTTACTGCCCACCCACCTCTGTTTCCTTGCTGTGTTTGCTCAAACGGAACAAAGAGCAGGGAAAGCCCCTCCCCTCCAGGCAAGCAGAGGGGAAAGAGAGCGTCCTTCATTCTAATTCCTCTCCGTGAAAACATGCAGGAGGGAGAGAGAGAGAGAGCGCGAGCCGGCTGGCTTGGGTGGGTGAGTGGGGGAAAACTTTTGCCTTCCTTTCCTCCCTCCCGTTATACCCCTCTCCTGCATTCTTAGCCAGCTGCTTCTCTGCACACCCCTCTCGTGCTCCTTTTCCCTTCTGTGTTTTTCCTTCCCTCCCCACTTAAAATGTGGTTACAAAGCATGGATCCACATGGATCCTCAGGATCTTTGCATTGGGTCACCCCAAATTCACCATCAGATCACATAGCATGTCCATGGCTACAGCCTGCCCCCCAAAAATCACGTACCCACTGTTGCCTGGGGCTGCAATGGTGCAAAAATGTGGTTAAAAAGCATGGATCCTCAGGATCTTTGCATTGGGTCAGCCCAAATTCACCATCAGAGCACATAGCATGTCCATGGCTACAGCCTGCCCCCCCAAAATCACGCACCCACTGTTGCCTGGGGCTGCAATGGTGCAAAAAATGTGGTTAAAAAGCATGGATCCACATGGATCCTCAGGATCTTTGCATTGGGCCACCCCAAATTCACCATCAGAGCACATAGCATGTCCATGGCTACAGCCTGCCCCCCCAAAATCACGCACCCACTGTTGCCTGGGGCTGCAATGGTGCAAAAACGTGGTTACAAAGCATGGATCCACAGGGATTCTCAGGATTTTTGCATTGGGTCACCCCAAATTCACCATCAGATCACATGTCTGTGGCCACAGCATGAAGCACAAAAATGATACATCCACTGTTTCATTCAGAATGTTTTTTCCCTTGTTTTCCTCCTCTAAAACGATGTGCGTGTTATGGTCAGGTGCGTGTTATAGAGCGAAAAATACGGTACTTCTTGTTCAACAGAAACACAGACTTTCTTCATGCAATTTTGGGAAGTCATGTTGCAACATCAGCAATACAGTTTGCTGTTCCAATTTCTGAATCAGCACCTCCTATCTTTTTAGAAACAGGTAGTTATTTTTAGAGCGGCTCTTCTTGAGAGCCTCTCCCCTTGGCTGAGTTGCTATCACTCCACACTTTCAAATTAGGAGTACTTGGGAAACTCTTCAAATTTTCTTTAGTGTTAGAATCTGTACACAGAAGGCTACCTTTTTATGAGCACGCAACTGACTCCCACTACTGGAAGGCCAGGTAAAGCCTTGAGTGACCAGAGCTAAAAGCTGCCCATTGCCCCTTCCAGCACCTCAGTAGAATGTAGAATACTTATTAATATTCCAGTCCAAAGCACTATATGAAAAGTATAGTATACTGATAAAACATAAAACGCTCAAGAGAACACAGAAAGTATTTTACTGAATGGTTCTGACAAATGCAGCAACTTATTGTTTTGCCGTTCAACAACTTTAAGTCAGCTTAAATATCTTTTCAAAGTTAAATGAGTGAACTTCACTCCAACTTTTCTTTACTGAAAGCACATTTACTTTCTCAGTCTAAATATCTGTTTCACCTCCTTTCATTGTGGACTGCTCAAATGTTTAGACCAACAATGCTTTAATCACCAGTTTATGACACTTCTTGAAAACACATATCTGGATGATGCACTATTTCTACACCGTTTATTCTATTATTCTATGTTAAATATTTCAACTTGTCAAGCACAGGTTCCATAAATTACTGGATTTACACAAAGTACTCAGGGAGGTTTCATACCAGTTCTTTTAGCCTCTGACCCTTCCTGTTTGTAAGTGTTGCTGCCAAAGAGTGGAGAAATAAGAGGAGTATGAGTTCAATGCTAGTTTCCTCAGGAAGGAATTCACTTACCTGGGAGATTTAACGCCATTAAAACAGATATGAAGGAAGTGAGTAAGCTACACTGGAATTGGTAACTTATAAATAAAATGTGAGAATGAATCTATCAAGTGTCACACAACCAGTTCTCTCTGCTGTAAACATGAACACAGGTTGTGTGTCACTAGTTTTATATTCACAAGCAAACAGCCACAGATACAAGCCAAGACAGAAATAGATCATATAAACGCAACTACTACATTATCTCTCATTTGAGAAGTGTAGCTGATGACCTGTGGTGCCTATGAAGACTAGAGAACTACGACTACCACTTAAGACTGAGCCTCTGATCATGCAAACAAGGTTCATAAATTGAGAAATAATTTACAAAAATTGCCAAAAACCTATACTCAGCACACACTTTGAGAAAGAAAGAATGCATAATTTGGTCTACCGACAAGCATTCCAATATGTTCTGTAATTTTAACAAAAATACCATTTCATCAGCATTGCAAAAATCCAAAATAGTTTCATGGAAGTTTAACAATAGGGAGTGTTGCAGTGGCTAGAGCCTCTATGCACCAGAATAGGTTCTGGAGAGACACCAGACGTAGAAATACTAACAAGATTTCTCTCAGCAGCATCATAAATCTAAGCCTCTTTCTTGAAAATAACATAAATATTCAGATCATGGTTTTCAATTATACTACTGTTTTTCATTTTCAGTCCAGGATTAGGCAGAAGGCTCACGTACCTCTCACAAATCCAACCAGAAACAGTTTCATTTTACCACTGACCAACCATATTGGCAAGTAATCCTTAAATCATGAATCTGCATAAAATGTCTGTACTGCTAAAATTATGAAGACCACATGGCACATAAAAATGTAAAATATATTCAAGTTCCAACATAATGGTTTTAACAGTCTGCTTTGTTTCTTATTCAAATGCTTCCAAAAGCCTAATTCCACAGTATCATCCATGTTTCTGGAGATGCCTAATGCGCAACAGTATTCCAACATCTTCAGTAACCATGGGCTTTTATGTGGCCCACCCTTTGTTCCTACAAAACATATAAAAGATCCAAAAATATATCTGATAGATTTAGTTACTATTAAGACAAGAAAGAAATGTATACTTACAAACTTCCTCTTCTAGGGAGACTAAGTTCCTTCTGTGGGAAAAATACAAACAGCAAATCAATCAAGCTGATGAGGACAATGAGGACCAGTCTGCTTTTGATCAAGTAATAACCATGCAGCTGTATTACCAGAACTCCAGGTATGACATTGTCCCCATATGCCTACAGCCAACCATGTTACAATTTGGATTTTACAAGAAGCAAGAGTTGCTGAAATACAGAGGTATTCTGTAGTGCTCTTCTAATGTGCAAAGAGGAACCTCACTAAACTTATTGTATATCAATAACAGTATACAATACAACATTCCTAAGTTCCCACTTCTTATAAACATCCCCATTAGCTCTGAGAATATAGCTGGTCTGGTATGCCGGCATTTTGTTTATGACTGTTATTGTCACAACATTAAGACTATCTGCAAACATATTTTATTTTATAATTAATTTTTTTAAGCATATTAGTGCATATTAAGTGAAGCTAATAATTTTTTCCACATTGAACAGATACAGTACATGCATTGAACTGTTTTCACAAAGATGTTGGGTGTAAATTAGATGTATGATATATAATTCAATTTTTTAAAAATGCTTCTGTTTCAGATCAACCCATTTATTTTTATGTTGTAAATATAATATTGTACCACTAGATGGTATCATTATCCTACTTGATAATCTTGCAATATAGATAGGTAAAGATTAATAATGTTCTGAAACCAGAGATATTTGCAGTAAACGTTTACTATAGAAAAAACACACAATTATGCTACTTTTTAATCCCAGGGAAAATTTACCCATTTAAAGTAATTCTGACATTTCATGCAATTTTATTTACCAGACTGCCTGCTGAGTTGTTGTTTAAGCCATAGCTAGTTATATTGGTCCACTGAGTCTATATGGTTTACACTGCTGTAATTTCGAATGGACCTTTCGGATCAATTTTGCTCTTTCCTATTAACAGCAAACCATTCTATCTTTGGGCTCAGGGTTGCATCCAAACTGGATTCATGGTTTGTTTCACTCTCAGCAAGCTATAACCTGCAGGCAATGTTCTTGTTTCCTCCGCACATTAGCAAGGTGGAGGAAAAATAGTTCAAAAAGTCACATTCACAATAAACCATTAACTATGCTGATGGTGGCATGTCAACTCAGCTGGCAGTAGCTCTCTGGGATTTCAGACAGTCTTTGGCAGTCCTACCTGAAGATACCGAAAGTGTGAACCTAAAACCTCTTGCCTTAGAAGCATGTGTTTTACCCCACTGAGCTACAGCCCTTAACCTTAACTTCCATATTCTCTTCGGAAATTCTGATTGCATCCTGTAACAACATAAAGGTGAAAATATTCTTCCAGTTCCTTGTGCTTAATGTTGGGGCACCCTTCACCTCACCCTCCCAAACCACGGAGGCATCCACTGTCCTTTGAAAATTCTGTATGAAGGAAAGCAGTTTTCCTTGAAGTCACAGCCATCAGCAGTTGGAGGGCTGAACCAGTTACTCTTCCTCTCTTGGAAACAGTTTGACTTTATCTGCTCAAACCTCACTTGCTGTGGATTTCTTGGATTTGGGTAGGTAGAACCTGGATAGTTAATTATGTCTCCAAAGTACAATGACATGCAAAATCTGTCCTATCAGACTGTTGGTGAGGCAAAGCACTAGAAACTGTCCTCACAATGTGTGATGATTAAGGACAATTGAATTAATTCATCTCTTCCCTTCAAATGTCACTTAAGAAAAGCTTGGCAATACTTTAAACAGCTATATATTCATGGATACCAGTAGGAATCACAGCAGGGAAATTAGTATGCCAGCCTAGCTAATGAAGCATTTCAAGTTTGGAAGCTGCATATTATTGGTGTCCCAGCTTACTCATAGCATTCTGAATGTACAGATAATATGAAAGAATAAGGTCTTTTGCTAGTTAAGAAAAAGGTTTCCATCTACTCATACAGAAATGACAACCTAATAAATATACTGTCAAGCTGCGACCAGCTTTAACCCTGGTAGTAATTCTCCACAGTTCAATAAATCTATTCCTAAATGTACTAATTATGTTTAATGCTTTGTCTCAAATAAACCCCTGCATACAAATTAGAAGGAAACATGAAAGCACAGCTGAGTCAAGTGTACTGTCCATTTCTTAAGAGTACTCTGGCTGCCAAAACACAAATTTAGATTGCCCTAGTTACTTCAGTCTAGGTGTGTTTTAAGGTTGTAACAACCTTACAAATGTAGTTATTTGCACAAAATACTATATAAGTACTAAGTCCTACGCTATTTAAATACATATAGATATAAACCAGCACTTTGAGCCAGTATCATTATTTAAGTATTGGTGAGATAATGTTCCCTATTGCCAGCCCCACTAGTAACCTAGCAGCTGTGTTTAATACTAACCGAAGGTTCCAAATGATATTCAGTAACAGCTCCACATGCAATGCATTGTGGGAGGTCCAACTGAGAAGTCACCAAGGGACACATAACTATGACTAGGTCGTCTTTGTCCAGGAAAGGTCATACTTGATACCCCAGGAACAGCTGAAAAAAGCTAAGTACCATGGCTTCTACTGGGCATCCAGTGACAATGGTGAATCGGTTGGTACCTCCAAACATATCTTTCAGAGGGAGAGCAATTACAGATGGAGCACCTCTGCCCTGATAAAACAAGCCATTAAGTTTCACTTAATTGGCCCTCAAGCAGTCCATTAATGAGCTCAATTTAGAATCTCCATGGCCTCCCTTAAGTTTGATGGAAGGAGAAACAAATCTGGGTGTTAGAAGTTAAGTGGACCAATCTCATTTCATTCAATGTTTTCATGAAAAGCCTAAAAAGTATGGGAGAGAAAATGGAACAAGCAGCAGTCTCCCAAATACCACTTTCTGAAACTGGCCATTCAAGTAGGGCTGGAACCACTGAAATATAGTGCTCCCATCCCAAACCAAGGCAGAGCTGCCATTGTCAAATAGCATCAAAAGCCACCTAAGGATCCAACAGAATGGGCTTCTCTTGGGATATAATACATAATACATAAGAATGACAAAAAAGTTCCTAAAATGAAACCAGACTGAGACAGCTCCAAAATATCAGATCATCCAAGGGTGCCTGCAACAATCACTCACTCAAGAATCCTTCCCAAGCAGTAGAACCAATATCAAAATAGATTTCCACATCCTGATTTAACACACAAATGCACCATGTGAGAGCACTGTGTGTCAGCTAATCCTTAGCCCTACAGAGGGCAACCTTGGCCTAATTTCAAGTGGGTGACTAAGGTGGGGGGATAAAGCAGAAAGAGGAAGTGTGGCAGAAAGAGTGAAAAGGGGCCCCTGTGCGCTTTGGACTTTGACCCTACCTAATTTAACTCTGGCTCTCCCCGCTTCTGGTTCAAGTTACCACTGAAGGACTGTGGCAATCCAAAGAAAAATGTTGCCACCCTACCTCATAGCTTCTGTGAAATTATGCTTAATTTACCAACTGGCCCAATAAAATATATTTTCCTTTTGCATCAGAACGTTCTTTTAAGATTCAGCTATATTAAATTTTCACTTCTCTCACTAACTTTAGCGCAAGATTTCAATGACTACATCACATTTAAATGTTTCTTCCTCGTTACACTTCAGACTAGAATTCCCAAGCTGCTAAAGGTGCAAACCTCAATGACACAGCGTACAGCAGCAATTAATCAGTACTACCAGGCAGCATTATTATTTTCTTTTGACAAACCACCGCTTTGTTGGCAAAAAATGTTTAAGAGTGTACCAACTGGCATTTCCCTAGTATAAAAACATATTAACGGCTCATATTTCCAAGTTCAACAAGAATACTTGGTATTAAGCTTATTTATTTTGGGAGAAGTCAATATTATGTTTCAACGTGCGGTTATTATGAAAGAACACAGAGGGTTCAAATTACTAATTCTTCACTGGTCACCATAAAGAGTATTTTATTGTGCACCTATGTTCATGGAGCAATCACAGCTCAGATGTAAGAGCAATCGCATTCAATTTTCCAGTGTTCAGACCTGCTTAGCTCCTAGAAAAGCAGAAATTCCCACCCTCTCACCTACTACTGCAAACTTCACAAATGCTGAGAAATTAGAAGAAAAAGGAAACCACTCATTTTCAGTATATCTTGTGAGGCTTAGGAAAGCAAGCTGTGTTTCTACTGTAGCATTCTCAGAAGAGCATTACTTGATCGGTATCTGGCTTTGAAAGCACCCAGGCATCATAACAGCAGCAGAACTATAGTACACTGATGCCTCACATGATAATGTTCTAAACCCTCTTTATGAATATGAGCTTTTAGAAACCACTAGTAGAAACAGTATCTATATTCTACAAAGAATACTTGAATAAGCACACATTCATCTTGAACAAAGCATGCTTTCCAAGACTGGGCATGCATCAAGAACAAATACATCATCGCTGCTGCTACAGAATATGACCAAATCCAGAAACAAACATGTGCTAATTTAGTCTCCCCTCCCCTCAGTATGATACAATTATTAACTATGACTTCTCATTAAAGTAAAACTGCAGTTTGCTGCTAAGCAATTTTGAATATGTACAAAACTATGGTAAAAATGTGTGGGGTAAGAGATCGAAACCAATGATACAAAACATAGAAGCTGTAAATTCCCAAGTATAAATATTTTGTCATCAAAGCAGAAACTGGTGGAATTCTCTTTCAGGTAATTTTGTTACTAGTGCTTGATATAAAGTGACACACAAACCATTACATTAAGTTGGAAATTCATTCACAAAAGTTATGAACTTAGGTTTTTTTTAAAGTGTATTGTGTCACCAAGAAGCCACAAAACCCAAACTAATTTGAGATTTAGGGAATTCTACATATTTCATGGCACACAGAAGTGTGGCCCCAGCTGAATGTTCTCATACCCCACTGTAATGAAGCCTAACAATGTAAAAAAACCCCGACTGTTCTTCTCACTTACCTGTTTTCACACCTGTGTCAAACCTTTAATTTTAAGCCCTTCAGAGCAGAGCAAAGACTTGCCTTCTTGCAGCAAGAAAAAATGCCA